CCTGCTGACCTGCTTCTGCCCTCTGTATCACACACCATAATTCTTCAGGAGGGTCTTGGCTTTTGTTCTGGCAGTTTTTGTGTGTTCACATACTTTCTATGCATTTAAACACCCCCTTCCAGCTCCATTTGCCTATTTAGAGTATCAGAAACAGCTGTTGATTCTTCTGTTTTCTGTTCTTCTGTGTGCCTAAAAGGGGAGCTGTAGAAACCATAAGCTTTTTACTAAGAGTTATTAAAGAAGATGTTAAGAGAGTCTTAGAATTTGATATAGGCCTAATTGTAGCCCGTCTCAGTCCATCATGTTAAAATGTGCCAGCATATATTTCCAGTAGACAGAATAGTAGCTATGCAATTACATTTTCTGCAAACAGTACATGGACAAAAAGTAATTAATCGCTGTAAATTTTGCTTTGTTAGCATTTTACAAACTTCTCTCTCATGCATAAAATTCTCTTTTAAAACTTTGTTCCTCTCACACTGTGCTTATTAGAACCCCCATATAACATACACAAAAATAAAGTGTGTGGGTATCAACTTAGTTATAAGATTAAATACTCACAGGTGCTTTCCTAGAGACTGTGCTAACATGCTGCTTTCTAGTGGTGTGGACCCATGAAGTCCAGCTGTTTAAAAGTACTCCCAGAACATAAACAACACTCACTCACTTGGGGAGAGAGCTGGAGGGTTGCTTCCAGCAGACACCCAGCTGCCCAGGGACACAGCTGGTGGAGGGAGAGGCAGTTCCACCTCCTGTGGAGACCACAGGGATGGCTTCTACTCTTGTGGCACTCAGCACCCACTCATGTTGTCATCACTGAGATCTGACTGTGTCTTTGCTACCTTCATATCCCCACTTCAGTTGGGTGGGCATGAGCACTGTCATCTTTTCCATGTGGTGCAGGGCAGGATGTGATCCTACAGAGGCTGGATGTGAAAAAAAAATTAAAAATGCCTATAGGAGTTACTGTGTGGTGACAGCAGACTCCCAAAGCACCATGCAACCGATCTGTTTTTCTCCAAAATTGCAGCCAAAACACCTGGAGCTAGCTCCAGATAAACCTACTAGTTACGGTGATTACTTCTTGCAACGGGTTTCCCTAAGTATTAGCTCAAATGAGGCAGACTTTCTTTTAAAGGCTGCAAAGGGAGGGAAAAACCCCTCCCCAAATCGATTTGTGAAGCTGTCTTGGGCAGTGCCACCTACTGTTTCCTGCCACAGCAATTTACAATTTTTTGTCTAAGGAAAAAGGTTGCTATGAATAGCGTAACATTACCACAAGCAGGTTGATTTTCACTGTAGGAGACACTGACTTGTTAGAGCGCTGTCCTTAGCCCAGAACATTCTACTTGGTCAGCTTTGGTTACCACAGGGCTGTAAGGAATGAAAATGACTTTTGGTGTAACACTTTGGTTTTCCTTATTTTCCATGTCTGCCTCAGAATGCTACAGTGAAAGTGAACATGACGATCCAGAAATAACAGACACACCTCCTCCCCCTTACATGGTCCAGCTACCACCTCCTCTTTCGGTAAGTGTTTCAGTAATTAGCTTGTTCCTAGTTGCTTTCTTGAAGAGGTGAACCTTTGAGGGATGACCTAAAACAGTGGCTAGAAATGTTCACCTGGTATGCCTGTGAAGTGTGGATGCACTGCCTAGCCCAGCCTCTTGGCAGAGGCTGCAGTTATTGCGGCCTGAATTGCTGGGAGCTTTGCACTGCAAAGAACAGCTTCCTCAGATGGAGCTTTATTTATCTTGCTAGAAAAGGGAATGTGTCACTTTACCTCACACACATGCCGAGTCTTCTCTTACTAGGTGTTTAACACTGCCATAACCTAGTTTTTAATACTGTTCTTTTTTTTTTCTTCTTTTTTTTTCCTGTCCCAAATCTTCTTTCTTTTTTTCACCCCAGTAACGTCGTCCAACACATTTGGTTGTTTGTTTGGTTTTTTTTGAATCAGCTGTTCTTAAAGCTGCTTTTGTGGCAGAGAACAGAAATGAAGGGA